GATCTAAAGAAAACGAAGCATTAGTTTGAAATTAAAATGAATTAAATAAATTTTATAAGTAATTTATTGAAGTAAATTTATATTTTTTATCTGTTATCTAAATAGCGTAGACCAGTTTGAGGAATGAGCGACAACCGTCCAAATCAGAGGAAAATCCGCAACGATACCGCCTATGATATAGTAGACTACCTATAGCATAGGTCATACTTTATGTATTTGTCCCTACTCTACCCGGTTTGGATAACTAGCCCTGTTGATGCCGACTTCGGGATTTGAATTTGAAAAAGTGACAGAAGGAGTTGTGATTAGTGGTCTTGTGGTAAATTTACCTGAGCATAAAAAAGAACAAACAAAAACAATGGCGAACCGAATACTTCATGCGGATTGTAATGGCCAAGCTGATTGTAGAGGTTTCGTCTGCTATATTCATATTGCTTTATATTTTCTGTGCTGTAGTCTTAGTTTGAAGCTTCTCGCTTCCTCCAGGCAAGTTCACTGCGAACTATTTTGCTAGAGTTTCAGTGGACCAGCTGGTTCTTTGCAGTGCTGGTTAATCTATTGCTGAACGTTTCTCTTCTGTCTTGCTTATGCTGGCCATATGCTTTGATATGCTGCTTTTGTATTTTCGCAAAGTTTCTCCCATTTAGCTGTTACGATTCCTTGTGCAGAAGAAACGGAAATTTTGTAACCATTGGAATGTCACTTTTCTTTACACTTTTATATTCAGCCATTTCTGGTGCACTTCTTTTCATTCACACAATGGTGAGCGCTGTCCATTTACGTACAATCAGCCAGGAGTGCTTTATTTTAAAAGTACAGTCAGCAGCAAGCATAGTCTGCTGTTTCCTTCCATCAGAGTAGTACTCCTTTATCTACCTCGGAGAGAAGAAAGATGAGTGTCCCACCGGGGCTCAAACCCGGCACCTCTTTGTTTTGAGTCTGATGCTCTCCCGACTGAATTACTCTGGTTATAGTGACAAGCTCATGTAGATTGGCTTTTTTATATTTGAATAGAATGGCTTCAGCTTTCATACCTTGAACCAAGTAAAATGAAGTAGGTACCTATCAACCGTGGGCGAATGGTATGAAACTAGAGCAAGGTGACAATGGGTATGTTTTACGATCTAACTCAAGGAACCATCTACCTTGGGTTCGTCACATATGTGCCATGATTCCCCTGTTATCATTTTCAGTGAAATCAAACTTCAAGTTAGTGCTTTTTACCATTATAAGTACCACTCTCAGAACGTAACCAACTCTCCTCTTGAAAATGACTTCTGCTGCTGAATAAAATGTAGAAAGCAGTAAAACGGTGTTAAAAGCCATGGTGGAGTTTACATTATAAAACATGAAAATTCTAAGATTTCTGAATAGTATTCTTTCTGAAAAGATGGGTAAGATTCATAACTATTTCAATATCTATCTCGCTTTCACTTTGTGATAAACGCCAGTGGTATTTTTGTTTCCATATGTCTCTTCTTTCGTGTGGCGACCTATTTTCAGAGTAAATTTTCTCGATTTGTTTCCCTACTTGTTTAACCACTTATCTTCAGAGCTCGACTGTTTCTTTGGGATTGTTGGAGCGCTTTGAAAAAGTTGCGTACTCTGGGGGACCATACCTAAATGACCTGAGTGATTGAATGAATGTTGAACTGTAGTCATACCGACAGTTCAGTGTTTAGTGAGCCACTTACCGTGAGGTGTATGCTGTGATTGTCCTTAAAGAGCGAGAAATGTTTTGCAGTAACCACGTGTAACAGTTGTTTCTGACTTCTGACTCTACCTTCATTACTGTTTTAAAACAAGAATCTTAAATGATCTGTCAACCATTGTAATGGCGTATTTCGATTATTCGGCCTCAGGTCACGTTAGATGATATGCCACATTGCTAATCGTCCTGTTGTTGACGTTCCCCCGTCTGTTGACCGATGTACGGCGTGATTTATGAGTACGATGTAAAGTGCAACGAACGGGGGCGGTGACTTCTATCATCTCGTTACCTTCCATCGACCGGTCAGGTAGGTCACTTCTTGTTGTGACTTCCATGTGTCATCCATTCCGTCTTCTTCTTTTTCGTTGTTGCCCTAATCGTCATCGTGATTTGGAGCCTGTTGTGTCGCGTACCGTTATTTGAACGAGGTCACTGTTTGTGGCATATATGACGATTGTTAGTCAAAGATTTACACGTCAGAGACCTGTCAAACGGTGGTGCATAATCGTGCTTTACGTCAGTGTTTCCGTATTCCTCTTCCGCAATGACGTTTCATCTCAAGAGGAGAAAGTGACACACGCGTGCATGGCTT